TTGAAGAGGCAGAAGGGAGAATAAGTGATTTAGAAGACACCATTATAGAAAAAGAAGAAACTGAGAAAAAAAGAGACAAACTGATCCAGGAACATGAAAGAAGAGTTCGAGAGCTCAGCAATACAGTCAAACACAACAATATCCTTATCATAGGAATCCCAGAAGAGGAAGAGAGAGGGAAAGGTGCTGAAGGAGTCCTGGAACAAATTATAGCAGAGAACTTCCCCAACCTAGGGAAGGAAGTAAACGTTGAAATACGAGAGGCACAGAGAACTCCCCTCAGACGCATTTTGAATTGATCTTCTGCACAGCATATCATAGTAAAAATGGCAAAATATAAGGACAAAGAGAGAATTTTGAAAGTAGCTAGGGAGAAAAGGGCCCTAACATACAGAGGAAAACCTATCAGAGTGGTGACGGACCTATCTACTGAGACTTCACAGGCCAGAAAGGAATGGCAGGAGATCTTCAATGTGATGAACAGAAAAAACATGCAGCCAAGTGTCCAGTAGCCACAAGTGGCTGCCATATTACACAGTAAAGCCTTAATTTCAGTGTACTTATTTGTATATATAATATAATACAGTAAAGTATTTTAAAAGTTCCCCACAAATTAATATAATTCTGAGTATAATTATAGAAACAAATATGTTTGCTGATTGTATTTTCATCTTTCAATTTATTTTCTGTAATTTGTAGGGATAAAATTCAATGTCTTCTTTACGCATTTGGTTTTCAATAATTGTAACTCTTTAAAAGCTTAAAAATCAAATTTTGGGAGGCATCTGGATGGCTTAGTCAGTTAAGCATCCATTTCTTGGCTCTGGCTCAGGTCATGATCTCTCTTTTCAAAGAATCGAGCCCTGCATTGCACTCTACACTGACAGTACAAAGCCTGCTTGGGATTCTCTTGGGATTCTCTTTTCTCTCTCTCTCTCTCTCTCTCTCTTCCTCTTCCTCCTCCTCCTCCTCCTCCACTGCTCATGTGTGTGCACGTGCACGCACAGACAAAAATGTCAAATTTTAGGCACTTATCTGTTGGATACTTTAATCAGAGATTTCCAACTAATTTTGAGCAAAGTGTAACTGTGAGGACTCATTTGCCTTAAAAAGGTTAGTGCCATTGTAGGAACTATTTTGATTTAGAGTATTTCTTCAAAAGCTTAAAGTGTGGGGGTACTGTCTTGATGGATTTTGTATATTCAGCATCAGCTTTGTCACAGCATTTAATAGTTCAGTTACTTTGTAGACAGGTAAATATATTTCTAATTTATGCAACTATAACTTCTAAGTGGGAGACTATCTTCTTTGGATACAGTTATGAATTACATGTGCCACAACAAGTTCCTAATAAAATTTCTATTTTACATTTTTCAGAAATTCACTGAGAATGTTATTTTTTACACAGTGTGCTTCAGCAGCATTTGTATTTCTATCAGTATAAGAACCAATAATTTTATCTTCACTATCGCACTTTTTTACTTCGGATCTTTCACCTTCAATGTAGTACCCTTTCAAAAGTATAATATTGGTTCTTGATCAGATTAGAAAAATTGAAGCATTATTTGAATTAGATTTTCTGTTTGACATACCTGATGACACTGATATAAAACTGATGTCCTTTAGCTGTTTCCAAGGTTTTTGTTAATGATATCAGCATATGAACAGCTTTGCTTTTTGCATATGCATGATGATGTGTGTTGAATCATTTGTCATTTGTCAGTGAATTAAATCACTTGATTTAAGTGAAGTTATTTGCAGAGTGATGTTAAATGTACCGTTTGCAGCTGCACATGTTAAATTGTCGCCCTTGAAGTATATATCGAAGCTTCTTCAGCAGTTCTATTTCTTTTGGTTTCATGTGATCAGTGATACCATTCTGGTCCCCGCAAAGAATAGTAAATGTCATTTTGTGCAAATTACATCTTCATCCTCAACTTTCTTGGAAATGAATTTGATTCTTAACTTTTCATTAAACATGTACTTCCAGTTTTTGAATTCATAACTGCAGAAAGGTATTACCAAACCATAAATAAGTATTGTTGTACATTTAGGCAGTACAGTAAAGACAAAATCACTGCACCAAGAATGGTCAGAATATTCTATATATTCTCTGTGACAGAACTGCAGAGCCTTTATTTGCCACATGGGTTTCACATACACCCACCTTTTATGGTGACCTCATCTGGCTACTTAGTACAGATCATGGTTAAGACCACGGAGTAACAAACTAGTATAACAAGGAGCTGGTGAGGACCAAAGTGTTGACAGCTGCTCCTACAATCTCAATCCATATGAGATTGGATAGTTTGTTGTCCCTGGCTATTTGGACCATATTTTATGGATGAGTATGCAGTTTTATCGGGATTTGCCCTTTATGCTGCCCTTGAAGGGGGCAGGTATTAGTTAAGGTTGCAACAGGAAAGGATCAAGACAACGCTGGTAATTGCCAGTTGTCTTTCGAATTAAAGTACCAACTCTGTTCTCTGCACATACATTTCAGACTTTGTTAGAAAGGACCAAAACAGAAGCTGGGATTAGAAAGCAGAGGGCTACCAAATTCCTCTTGGCTTGTTTTACTACAAGTATTAGTAATAATACTTTTTTTTCTTTAAATGAAATAGAATATACAGTAGTGGCTAATAACTTCCTTGGGCAATTAGATCACATCTCCTGTTCTGTGCTTTTATTTCATCATGTAATATTCCTCTACTGTACATAATCACAGTTGACCTTTATATATTGATTTTTGTACTTTGTTCATCATCCACTTGCCCCACTAGACCAGAAACTGAGGAAAAGCACCATTTGTTTCTCATATTGTATTCATGGTACCTTAACACAGTGACTTGGACATATTAAAACCTCAAACTTGTGGAATAAATGAAAACGTGAATGAATGCACAAGGTAGAAGAAGTATCCTGTTATGAGTAGATTTGTCCCAGTTGATCGTTAACTAAATAATAGAAAACTCTTGGGAATTGGAAACAGCATTCTTTTGCAGGTAATTCTAGCTTAAATGGTATATTCTGAGAATACAGTAGAAATGTATAATGATATTTCGTCAGATGTGTAAATTTGATATGTCTGTAAATGTTTATAACATAACAGCATTTACTGAATATTGTCAGTATGCTTAAGCACATTTTATGTATTACCTCATTTAATCTTCACAGTAATCTTGTGAAGTATTATTACTGTGCCCATTTTACATGTGAGCTTGCAGAAGCTTAGAGAAATGAAATGCCTTCCTCCGAGTCATAAAGTTGGTAAATGTATCATAAGAATGGAAATTTGATTACATCTTTCAATTTTGTTTACGTTCTAGACATCATGTCAGTGAAAATTGTAAGTATTAAACAGCCATACTAATAGTGACAAAAGATTTCTCACAGAGAGCAAGATACAAGCAGTGCAGGTATAGTCCAGGTCTGGTGTAGCAGTTAATTATATTACAAGGGCCCTGGATCTTTTCATCTTCCTGCTGTGCTATGCTCAGTGTGTGACTGCATCCCCTACTATTATGTTTGCATGATGGCTACTGTATCTGTGGGCATTGCATCAATTCATACAAAGGAGAACAGGTGAAATACCTCTTAAAGGACTTTCTTAGAACTAGGTGACTTCTAGTCACCTATGACTAGGCTTCTGTCTCATTGGTTTGAACTGAGTTACTGGCCACCCCTTGCTGCAATGAATCTAGGAAGGTTAACATTGATGACCTTTTCTGGTATTTTTATCTTTTAGTTTCTTCAAGTGTATAATCAGAAATCCTCGTATTGAGAAGTGAGTGACTGCAAAAGTTGAGCATCCGGTGCTGTATACCATGAGGGAGCTTTTTTAAGTTGGGGATATTGTGGTCAGATTGTGCCTAAGGAAGGCTCTGATGGCTGTGTGGTAGAGTGCGGACGACAGAATAGAAGTAGGAAGAGACTGGGGCGCCTGGGTGGCTCAGTCGGTTAAGCGTCCGACTTCGGCTCAGGTCATGATCTCACAGTTCGTGGGTTCGAGCCCCGCATCGGGCTCTGTGCTGACAGCCAGCTCAGAGCCTGGAGCCTGTTTCAGATTCTGTATCTCCCTCTCTCTCTGACCCTCCCCTGCTCATGCTGTCTGTCTCTCTCAGAAATAAATAAAACATAAAAAAAATTAAAAAAAAAAAAAAAAAAAGAAGTAGGAAGAGACTTTAGGAGACCTCTGTAGTAATTTTAGTAAGAGACCTGAGAAGCCCGAACTGGGAAAATATAGGAAATAAAAGGAGACTAAAGATTCCAAAAATATTTAGGAGGTCACATGGCTGGGACTTGGTGGTTGATTGGCTCTGGGGAGACCAAGGGAGATAAAGAGCCAAAGGTGTCTCAGGTTTCTGTCAGAAATAAATGAGCAATGCCATGAATTGGAGACTAGAGAAGAGTAAAGGAGAAAGTTTAAATCGGTTGCCCCTTTTAGACACAATGAGTTTAAGGTATCTGGATTTTCTTCATGTGCAAATCTTTATTAATTGGGAAAATTCAGATAGATTTGTTATGTTACTTTTTTCTTGGTAACATCCCTTGGACTTTAATTTCTTTTATTTAGCAATTTCAAACATTTTTTATCATCAATTCTGTTAATAGTCTCTTTTCTGTTTCAGGCTTTAGTGTCCTAATTCGAGGGCCTGGCCTGTCTTAATACCAAATTACAGAAGTATATACCAAATTTTTTTCTTGAACTTCTGTGGTTTAAATATTGACTTGTACAGGATTTTATTTTGGTGACTAGGATGAGATAAGGAAAGAGCATTTTCAGTTGTTAGAATATGGTTGAACACAGTTACTGTTTCCAAAGTGTGATATAAAACATGAACAAACTGAAGTGTCTTTTAAAAGCTCCAGTGTTAGCCTTTTTAAATGTTTTTGATATTTGAAGATATACTCCACTGTTCATTTCCTCCAAAAACTATCAGATTTTAAATTTTTATTAAAGATCAAAATTGAAATATCCCTTTCATGTATTCTGACAGCAGGAGGATGCATTAGCACAACAGGCCTTTGAAGAGGCCCGGAGAAGGACCCGTGAATTTGAAGACAGAGACAGGTCTCATCGGGAGGAAATGGAGGTGAGAGTTTCACAGCTGCTGGCAGTAACTGGTTAGTACTTTCCCCCAAACTCTCAGGCTCTCTTTGTCGTGTTTGTGCATAACGTTTTTAAATATAGCTTAATTTTGTCTTCATTTTTCCAAAGTTGTACTTTGTGTTTATTAAATTTAATTGCTATAAAGAAAATTGGTCTTAATTTTAAGGTTGTACATGAATTAATCATTCATTGGTCCTCATAAAAATCATCTGCCACCATGTATATATTCTCTAAATTCAGTGATCCAAACATCTTACCTCTTTTTTGTCTCAATTATTTGTCAGATTATATGTAAAAATTACCTTATGTTAATCCTAGAATATGTATTTTTAAACATTGTTAAAACTCTATGGGAATAATATTACTTTACTTTTTTTATGAATATCTTGATTTCATAACAGTATAATTTGCAGCCATTTGTGTGTTCTTACTAGAGGAAAATTTAATGTTTTTAAACTACTCAAAGAATGGAATTAAGTAGACCACTTTTACCTTTTTTATGGTATAGATAGAAATCTACACAAAAGAACAATGTAGCTTAATTATTATAAGGCTAACACCCTAATAGCTACCATCCAGATCAAAAAAATCAAACATTGACAGCTACCCCAGCAGCACCCCCTCCACGTGTGTGTAATTATGCACCTTGTCCCTCCCCTCAAAAGTACTCATTACCTCAGTTTTTATAGTAATCACTTCCTTGTGCCTTTTTTATTCCTGTCATCTCAGTCTTCAACTGAAGACTGAGGTTTAGTCTAGAACATTATTTAAATTTGATATGACTTTTAATTGACATGGGTTTTTTTCCAATCTAAAATTGTACCATGCTTTAAGCAGACTTTAATTATGAGATTACTATTTAAAGTATCTATACATTGTTCAAAAATTCAATTTCTTTAAAAAGTATACTCTAACAAAAATAATCAAGATGAGAAATGTGTGTAAAAAAGAATATCATCAAATGTTAACATCCTGTGCTTCAAGTTTATAAGCTTAATTATTGAAACGAACATTTCACACAAAAAGAAATAGGAAGAAGTTAGCACACATTCATCTTTGATAATCAAAAGAAATGGAATTAAAATATAATTCTGTAACATGAGCTAAGTAGAGTAATTTCCGGGCATTAAAAAGAGTTCAACAGATTGGTTGCACGACAACATAAAGATACTTTATACTTTATTAGCACTACTGAACTGTGGACTTAAAAATGGTTAAGATGGTAATTTTTATGTTATATGTATTTTAACACACTAAAAAATGTTGTAATCGGTGTTACGGAAAATTTGTGGGGTTTGCACGCACAAAATTATATGTGCACTATTATTTCAATTAACATGAAAATGTGTATGTGTTTGTGTACAGAGAGATAGAGCCCAGACACTGGAGCCAGATTTCAAGGTCTGAATTTGGCCTTGCCATTTACTTTGTCACCTTGAACAACTTATTTCATCTTTCTGTGGCTTAGTTTCCTCATTGATAAAATGAGGCTAATAATGGGGCACCTGGATGGCTCAGTCTGTTAAGCGTCTGACTCTTGATCTTGGCTCAGGTCATGATCTCATGGTTCCTGAAATCGAGCCCCACTAGGACTCTGCATGATTAATAAGGATTAAATAAGCAAATACCTATGAAAGCACTTTTTGAGTATGTGGCACTGACTGCGTGTCAGCTGCTGCTATTGATGTTACTTTGTGTGTTTTTTAGTAAATGAAAAAATTCAAGCCAACTTGGTGGTTAGTGTATAAAATAAAATTATCTTTTTTTTTTTTTTTAATTTTTTTATTTATTTCTAGGAGAGAGAGACAGCGTGAGCAGGGGAGGAAAAAAGAGAGAGAGAGAAACAAAAACTGAAAAAAGCTCCAGGCTCTGAGCTGGCAGTCAGCACAGAGCCCGACGCGGGGCTTGAACCCACGAACCGCGAGATCATGACCTAAGCGAAAGTCGGACGCTTAACCAACTAAGCCACCCAGGCGCCCCAATAAAATTATCTTTTAATGATTGATATTTCCCTTTGTCAGTGAGTGGATTGGTCTGATAGACTGATAGCAACTGATAATGTCGATAGACCGATAGCAACTGAATATGGTACTCTAGCTAGAAGAGACAGGAGGGAAATTATGCAGTGCGTTTGGTTTTTTTGAAGCTTTTCAATTACTGTGATCAGACTTCCCATGCCATTTTCTTTCAGAGTGCTTGTATCTGTAATAGTAAGAAGGTTTTAAATATATAATATGCATTTATCTTATACTTCTGAACCATTTTGCTCATACTGTTTGTTCCGTGACTTATAATATACCTTTCTACTCATTCTTTAAGACCTAACTTAAATATTACCAGTTGGTCTTTTCTCTAGCCTTCTTAATTGTAATTAGCCCTTCCACTTTGTAGTATCCAGAGCACTTATTTCTGTTATTGTTCTTACTGAACACTATGTTGAAACAATTAAAAATGTCTGCCTTCTACTCCATTGTAGATTCCCAATGAGAAGGAGCCCCTGATATTTTAACCCTCACATTACCCACCACAGTGGTTTTTTGTACATTGTGTTTAGTTGTCAAATGGAGATCTTCAGAAAACAGTTCCCTATCCTGCCTGTCCAAAAACTAGAGTTATAGGGTAGCCTAGAGGTTAGTTGAAATAGAATAATACATGTTAATAATCTCTGGAAAGATTTTAACTGTTTGTAATTGTTGGTTTATATTAGGTAACTTTTAAGTAATGAACCCCAACTATGTTGTGCAGGATTCTACATTAGGGACTGGGAAATATATGGATGAAAATGCATGGTTTCTATCCTTAAGTACCTGCCAGTCTTGAAGGAAAATAGATATATAAACACATAATTGTAGTTTACTTTAGTAGCAGCCATTCATAATGGAGGTTCAGAAGGGGAAGAGTGGCACTGTAGAGGAATGAGTGCTTAGGTCTGCCTCTGTCTGGGGAATTCACAGGGGAATACCCTTGCAGGGGGTTGAGTGAAGAGTGGAAGTTTGCCCACTGGACAAGCTAGGGAAAGCATTCTGGACAGAAAGAACAGTATGCAAAGGTATAAAAGCAGTAAGAGATCTTGTCATGTCTGAGCATGATTGGTCAGTTTTTCTGGAACAGGCCAACATGTCTTTAAATGAGTGTAAGAATTGTTTTATAAAAAGGGCTCTTTGGTTAGGGGCACCTGGGTGGCACAGTTGGTTAAGCGTCCGACTCTTGATCTTGTCTCAGGTCATGATCTCACAGTCCGTGAGTTCGGGCCCCGCATTGGACTCTGCTCTGATGGTGGGGACCCTGCTTGGGATTCTGTCTCTTCTTTGTGTCCCTCCCCTCCTTGTGCACTCACTCACTCTCAATGAATAAACAAACATAAAACCTATTTTTTTACAAAGTGCTCTTCGGGGTCACCTGGGTGGCTCAGTCGGTTAAGCGTCTGACTTTGGCTCATGATTTTGCAGTACATGAGTTTGAGCCTCACGTCAGGCTCTTTGCTGATAGCTCCGAGCGTGGAGCCTGCTTTGGAGTCTCCCTCTCTCTCTGCCCCTCTCCCGCTCACACTCTGTCTCTCTCTCTCTCTCTCTCTCTCTCTCTCTCTCAAAAATAAACATTTTTTAAAAGTGCTGTTCAGCTACATTATATATGAAGAATAACTGAGGGGTGCCTAGGTGGCTCCGTTGGGTAAGCATCTGACTTCAGCTTGGGTCACGATCTCACATTCATGAGTTTGATCCCCTCATCAGACTCTGTGCTGATAGTGTGTAGCCTGCTTGGGATTCTCTCTCTCCCTTTATCTGCCCCTTCCCTACTGCATGCTCACTCTCCAAATAAATAAACTTTAAAAAAATAAGTGGAGGATAACTATTTGATAATTAATGGAACAGTTATTTAGGAAGTTTTTATATATATTTTGCTTTAAATAAAATTCTGGATTAGTTGATACTAAGGATTGTCTTTTTTTAAATGCTAGTTTGATCATTCTTATAAATAATGCTACTTGAAGGGGGGCCTGGGTGGCTCAGTCAGGTAAGTGTCCGACTCTTGATCTCCACTTGAGCCTTGATCTCAGGGTTGTGGGTTCAAGTCCCACCTTGGGTTTCACACTGGGCATGGAGCCTACTTTAAATGAATGAATGAATGATAACACTACTTGAAGAGAAACATTTTGGTATGTGAATTTAGATGTACGTGTTTATATTTGTGTGTGAACAAAAACATAGTCTGTTGATAGAAGCATTAAATAATTTGTTGCTCAGATAGATTGTCTTTTAGTCAGTTTTATGTCATTGATTTGAGAGTATGGACTCTGTAATCAGGCCTAGTTGAGATTCCTGTTGCCTTGCTTGCCAATCTCTTAAGCTTGTTTTCTCATAGAAAGAAATCGTGAGAATTAAATGGGAAAGTGCTTGTAAAAGCACTTAGTATGGTGGTTGGCTTGTGTATGCCTACAGTAAATAATAGCTCTGAAGTACTTCTTTAGCACTAAAAGCTGGACCACTGTGCTGGTTCCAGTTAATTGAATGATCTGGAGAAGAACATCATTTTAGCTCTCTAAAGTATATTAGGGCACTTTCCGTGTGTTATGACCTGGAGCATGGAGAAAATGGTTAGATTGTCATCAATGATTTAAGATCTGGTAGTCCCTTATGGCAAAAATGTAAGCCGTAAGTTCTTGTAGAGAACTTTCATCTACAAAACTGGACTGGACTCAGACTCCAGAGCTTGCAGCACTGGCTGTCACTTACGGGAATTTTGGGTATGTGTGTCTTTTGGTACTTTGTGTGTGTATATTTTGCTTCCTTAAAAAAAAAAATCCATAACAGATTCTGAATATCAGCATATTTTCTTACAGTTTACCTTTTTCTTAAAAGGACAACACTAGGGAAAATTACTGTTTCCCCCTTATAATTTGAACATCCATAGGGGACTTTATGCCATATACTCTAACATTCTTTTTACACTTGAAACTGAGACTCTGAGAAAAATTGACTTGCTCTCTTCCAAGTAGTTGGTTAATGGAAGGAGG